TAGACTCTCTACCAGCACTATACCTATCATTTATAGGATTTTATAAGAATGATGGTAAATTAATAAATTTTCAATTTATCCGAATAATATTTGATATTTATTTTCAATTTTTAGGTTTATGCTATATAAATCACATAAGTTCAGTTTTAAAATATTTATGCAATAAAAATAATGCGACAGTTTTGGTAACAAATCTAGCAATAAAAAATTGTGATTTTACCAACAATGTCAAGCCTGCTATTGGAAAATATTGGTTTCATATACCCAACACAAGATTAATGATCTCTACAACAACAAAACAACAACAGATGTATATTAATGTTGCAAAAAGTGTATATCTACCTTTAGATGAAAAATGTATATTAAGTATTCATGAACATGGAGTTTCGTAAATACTCTTTAATATCTTATGTTTCAATTAAGATTTTAAGAATAAAAATTGTTAAAACATGAAAGTATAAATTAAGTCATGTTTTTAATATTAAATACAATATTAATTGAATAAATAGTCGGTGACTTCAATAACTGTAGTAAATAACGAAAAAAAAATAATGTTTACAATTTAAAATAAACATAGCATAATAATGTAATAATTCATTAACAATAAAAAAAAAAATATTTCTTATATAATTTATAAATACATATTCAAATCTATTCATGTATGTTCAGACTCAGAACAAGTATCTTGTGTAAGACAAGAACAAAACTTTATTTTTTTAGTAACATTTTCTTTATTAGACGAAAATGTGTTACTTGGTTTTGAGTTATTCGAAAATTCAGCAATAAGTTTGACTACTTTTTCCTTCATAAACATATCCTTTTCAAACCAAATGTGTTTCAATATTTTATCAAAATCAAACCTTCTATTATAATCAATTGTTAATAACTGCTCGATTATATCTTGAACACCATTTGAAGTGTTAAACAATTTAAGTTTAGTGGCATTGTATACTCCTTTGCAAATCTTTTCTTCAATATGGTCACCAGCAAAAGGTTTATGACCACTTAAGCTTAAAAAAATAAAATTACAATCTATATTTTTATCTAATAAACTTAAATTAAATAGACAGTTGTTTACCATTCATATAAAATAACACCAAAACTCCATGAATCTACTTTATTAGTATATTTAATATATGATTGAGTTAAATTTTTTCTATTTGAAAATACTTCTGGTGCAAGGTACGCTAATGAACCACAAAATGTTTTTAAATGAGTGTTTTCTGTTATCTTTTTAGATAAACCAAAATCAGCCAATTTTACAACACTCATAGGAGACTTAACAGAAAGCAATATGTTTCCTGGCTAAAATTGAAAGAAAAAAAAATGTGAAATTATCAATAGCATAAAATAAAAATGTTAAAGCTTAATATGATCTTGTTTTAAATTACATATAATAACTATACATATAATTACTTTTAGATCTCTATGAGCAATTGACCTATTGTGTAAATACTGAACAGCTCGAGCAACTTGATACAAAATGATTTTAGATTCAGATTCTTTTAAGCGTTTCATATTTTCTATTAGTTGTTTTAATGTTCCTCCGGGCATGTACTCCAAAGTGATGTAAATCGCATCAGTAGTATCAATGAAATTTTCCATATTTACAATATTTGGCTAAACATAAAATCTTTAATAATCACAAATATGAAAACATACATAATATATGTAATGATTATTAATTATATAAAATTGTATATAATTACTGAATTACATGAGATAAGCTTGATAAAATATCAGGTTCCCTTAACACAATACAACTTTCCCTGTTCACTTTTTTCAATGCAAAGCATTTTGAAGTTTTCTGCAAAAAAAATAAAAATTTTAAATAAATCAAAATCAAAATTATAAAATTTTAAGTTAACATAATATTAATTACATAGATAAAGCTTGTTTCACTCGATAAGGAATAATGCATTTTAGTACTGTATTTTATAAAAAAAAACATTTCAGTTAAATATTAATTAATTATTAACTATTAAATTCTTTACAGTATCTAGTTATGAAAAACCGATTTTTTTTTCAAATTTAATTTTATTATTACACTATATGTAAAAATATAATTCTTTTGTATCAACTATAATTGAAAGGGCTTATTTTAAGGATTTTTTGGAAGAAGTTTTAGATTAGATTAAATTATTTTGTTTATGTGTTATAGAGCTATACAAAATATCTTCAAACACACCTTAGCCTTTAACCTGATACCAACAATAGACAAAAAAAAATTAATTTCACATAACATAAAACTAATAGTAAATCGTAGAACATTAATATTAGATTAAAATGATTAAAAATATTAAGACTATGTATACTTAGGTATGTTCCATAAATATCAGAGAGTAAACAAAATTAAAAACTATCATTAAATAGAATCAAATTATTTGAAACACAACAATACTACATAAACTAAATGTTTTTATTAATAATATTATACATATTAAATTGATACCATGGCTTTTATATATAAAATATTCATATATTAGATTAGGTAGTTACTTTTCTAAATAGAAAAACAATTATATTTAAGTATATTATAAATATATACAAATCATAAGCCTTCTATAAAGTATTTGAAATATACAAAATATTACACTTGTTTTAATAGAGACAATAAAATGTTTAACAATTTAATATAATATTTCTTTTAATTTGACAAAACTTACTTTTTCAAAAGCTAATCGGACTTCACCAAAAGTTCCTCTACCCAATATACCATAAACAGCAAATTTTTCCCTGACTTTTTGTGGGCAATTTACATAATCAGAACGTTTGTCAGTAAATGTATACACTATAAAAATGAATATAAAATATTTCTGGTAAACTTTTAAAAATAAATATAGGTATTTTTTTAGAGATGGGTCGAACTGTTCGAATCTCGAAATGAACATCAAGGGTTCGGTTTGGTTCATATTTGAACTCGATATGAAAAAAATTTAAACGAAACTATTAAACATAGTTTACTGTTCGAAAATCAAACTTGAAAATATTTGTTGAATTAGACTTAGAATTTAATATTCACAATAATTCAAACATCAAATATTTGTACAATTCAAAAATTATTTAAAAGAAATAAAAATTGAGTTATAATATGTTATCATTAATTAATAATTACTAAATAAAATGAATAACACGTTAGGTTAGGAGTTCGAATTTGACTGATTCTAGGTTTGGTTCATTTCGAGTTTGAAAAAAAAATAATTTAAAGTTGGTACAAATTCAGTTCGATTTAAAAAATCAGAGTTTGACCCATTACTAGTATTTTAAAAAAACCAAATAAAAAATACCACAATTCGCTTTAGAAACAACAGCAATTTTGTCATTATTTGATAAAATCCAACGATTGTCTTTTCCAATTTTTTCACCATTTAAAAAAGTTCCATTTGCACTTGTGTCTGTAATAAACACTACATAACCTAATGTCCCAATCTTTTCGCGATTTATAATGAAATGAATCTTGCTAATATGATTCATTACTTTTAAACTAAAACACTGTTTTGTAAATTGAAAGTCAACATCATTAGTTTGACGACCTGCGTTATAATTATCCTTCACTAGGTCTAAAATAAACACAACATTTATATTGCTTATTACATGGATGTGTATGGCGTAAAATAATAACACAACTGTAATAATTTACATGTGTAAAATTAAATAATATTAAGAAGACAAACCTTCAATTTTTAAATATTCGTTTTCTGGATATAGACGTCCCCACGCATTTGTATTCTCCGGCTTAGATATTTGATCCTGGCTGCTCAAAGAGTCCTGACTGTTTATTAAAGGCGTCAAAATTTCTGAATCACCCATATTTGCACTTTTAAAATTACACAAGTATCATTAGATCTTAAAATTATTCTATAAATTGTAAGTAAGATTTTACCTTTTCTAATTAAATATATAAAATCTTTTTTTATAAGTTAATTAAGTATCTTTAGTATTTATTTCACTTTGTTGAATAATAAACTTACAACAACATAAATTTATAAAATATATACAAGGGTATAAAAAATTTTAACAATAGGTAAGATACAAACTTAATTATTAATATAAAACCATATTTCATTTAATAATTTCAACAATAGAATTTGTTTGATTAAGGTACCTTTTCTAGTTTTCTATAGCAGGTGCATACTGAACTTTCAAGTAAATAATAAATATAACTGAACAGAACTTAACAATATTATATATTATTTTATACTGTCACAGGTTATTGGTATTGAAAAATGATTAAACGCGAAATAAGAACTGCCCAGTGGAACTTCAACAATGGCACTGCTAGTCTGCGAGCAGTGCGAGCATGGTAGTATGGTACGATGGTAGACGCAGGTTGACCGGTAAGAGCAAAGAGCAACAGAACAGAGATGACAGTGGACGGAGTAGAGACTAGCGCCTAGCAGTCACCTATTCAGTATTCACCATAACTATATAGCGTAGTAGTTTACCAATTCCGGCAATATTATAAATTATAATCAATGTTACATTTAATATTATTTTATTTATAACTTTAGAATGTTATCAACTAYAGCCTGTAGGTTGTCAATATTCGTTAAATCAGAAGTCTATATTTATTATCTACCAACTGGGAACTTGTATTGTCAGAATCACTCCCAAAATATAGAATAGATATCGATTTAAATGATTTAATTATAGACTATTTATAAACAATATAGTATTTATAATCAATGATGATAATATAATTAATTATGTATATAATTATATGACGTGCCTGGGAAAAAGTAAAATATACTTTAAATTTTAATTATGTCAGAACAGAACCACTAGCCTTACAATGTGATGTCACATCACGCTTGTCACTTTCTGTCAAATACTTATTAAAATCTATCTCATTATTATGATTTGGATCCAATTTTTAAACATACAGCATGGCGCATGGGTATAGTAGAGTATGCTAAGCAAGTATAAAATGTTTCTCATAAAACTATGATAGTAGTGTTATTATACAATCAATTCTTTTATGCAACATTTTTACATTTTACAGTTTATAGATCATATTTGATATTTAAAAAAAAAATATTGCATTATTTTTATCTTAAGAGGACGCTATTCCCGCATGTTTAATGTGTTGTATCCGTCTTACAAGTGCGTAACAGCAAATTTTACGCTCAGCAGATCATGTTTAGCTCCTTGAGTTTAAAATATAATAAAAAGCCTATGAGAAGCCCTCCATAATAATGTTACTTTTAAAATTTATAAGGRTCAACTCACTCGAAATTTTAAATTAATGGAGCTAAATGACATAAAATAAAGGCTTGGTCAATGTCTGCCTGGTACTTAAAGGGCCCCTTTTGAATGTTATTTCATAAAATGATAAAAAAAAAAATGCTTATAAGTTGTAAAATATTGTATTTTCAGTAATACGGGGCTCCTTGACACAAATACGGCCGAGGGACCCGGATGCGTTCGCGGACTAGCGGCCATGGCCAGGCACCCAGGCGGACACTGGGTTTGGCATATATAGTTAAATTAGTTATACTAAACTATATAAAAAAATATATCGTATTTTTCTAAATTATTAATATTTAAATATAAATATCTTAAATGCACTGATATTGATGTYAATATTTTTATTCATCTTGATTGGAAAATGATATATAATATGGTTACCGATTACCAAATAACTATCATAAATTAATAACCATACGGCAACGGCATACACCACCATAATTCGTTTTATCAATCTTTGACATAATAATTGTATAAAATACGAGCATACCTGTTGTTATKTCAAATGTATCTTGCCCTATATCATTATATACATTATACATGTAGTAAATAAACATGGTCAAGGAGGGTGCTACTACCCCTACAAGGCTACAACATCCCCCTCGCTACGCCACTGGTATCTGTACAATCTATACAACATAAATCACCTAGAAAACATAACTATAAGTGATGTGGTTTTAAATAATAACCACGAACGTGGTCATTACCATGGTATAAGTGTGATAAGGAAATGGATCATACGAAAAATTTTTCCCGCGAAGAACGGTTCGTGGTTACTGTATACCTACCACGGTTGAAGTATTGGAAATTGTACCGTATCCGTAATCTGATAGAATGTTAGCAACGTGTATCCCTCTTAGACTCTTAGTTACGGAATTATAAAAACGGAAACAACCAAACAACGCAATGGCCAATCTTCGACCATATAAATATATAATAGTGTTTTCCACCGACCACCACACCGCACTATTGCACCAAGGTAAAACTGGTACAGTTCACTGATAATCGTCCCAACACGGACTGGTGCAAAATGTAGATGAATCATAAAATCTATACTTATTACTGATATACATGGACTAAGATATATTAATGGGTATTGCAGTACTTATCATGATAATGATAATGCGTACGAGCACTACGAGCTCCAAGAGCTCGTATGATTATCTTTGCACGTTTGCACTGAGTGCAAAAAACTGATRTAGTGCATTTAGGTGAAACATAAAAAAGTCCACTCGGTGCACATGAATCTTGCAGATGGAACATAAAAATATGTACTGGTGCCACGGTTTAAGATATATATATATATATATATATATATCTTAAACCGTGACTGGTGCAGTCAGTGCAGTGTGGTCATAGAGTAATATACTCGTATTAATATATATTATGAGTGTGGTGGAAAACGCTAATAGATGCGGCATCATAGATAATATATACATGGATAGGACATTAGGTGGTTTGGTATGTGCTCAAAGTGAATATATGTTACCACAATGGTTATGTCTGGTTAACACTTGTGTTATCCTCAATAGCCTACATTGATAATTGATTACGTCACAATTTAAAAAGTAAAAATAAATCCGGCCAATCAGGGTATAGACACGTCTGTTTGTAATGGCAAAATCTGGTGACTGTGGTTTGACCGGTGACCGGATTTGATCTACTATAAATGGCGGATAATGACTTCACTTAATAACACTATATAGTTAGCGATCTATAGTTTATTATCTATACCAGCAGACCGCCAGACCAGCTGTGGTTGTAGACTATCAAATAATAGAGCCCATTGGTTATTTGAGTTATTTCTTTAATTGTCTCTTCAGACTAATTGAAGCCATGACTTGTCGTTAACATACTTTCAAGACTTCAGTCCTCAAGTCCAGTTCATTGATAACATTGATAAGCTGCTTGTAGCTTGTAAGCTGTTGTTGCTCTTTTCCGTTCATTTCAGTCCAATATCTTAATTATCTTACTACCTACAACTGCTACAACCTAKGCCATGATAGTTACTTGTTAAGATTTCATATGAGTTTATTGGTTTTTACAAATTATAATACTTGAGTTACCTTGGAAATTTGAAAATCCTGTTGAAACTTCTTGACGTTGTGTCAAAATCATAATCGGATATTTACTGTGATGAACTCATTAGTTGCCGATTATGGAGATGAAACAGACACTGATTCTCTGGAAAGTGATCAAAATCTAGATGAAAACACCAAGGATATGAAGTAATTTTGATCAAAGACCTAAACCTGATTTTTTTAATATATTGCACATAGATTTTAGTAACGTATTTTATTATTTATAGTTTTCAAATGTACCTAATATTATTTATACTTACGTCATACTTTTATAAGTTGTTTCACAAGTCAATGATTAACTAAATATATATTTTATATTACCAACAATTAAATTTAATTTTGATGGATAATCCGAGTCTGTGTCCAAATTGTTATTTCATTGTATACTTGTGTTTAAAATAAAAATTACATTATTCATATTAAGAACTATTATCACCTCTGTTTTGTTTTAATTTTAGGACAGTTGATGAGTTTAAAATTGAGAATAAGCTCCCTGCACCAAGGTTCAAAGATACTGGTGTTATCAATGAATCTGTCTTCAGAAATCCTTATTTGGAAGCTGAACGAGCTAAATGTGCTGTATTAGAAAAACATGTTAAAATGGTCCCTGCTAAAGATCACCTTACAAAAGTTAATGGGAAAAATATATGTTGGATGAACAGAAAGGGTCGCTGTCGTTTTGGAAATAAGTGTAAATTTGCTCATGACTCAGAATTATTTAATGATCCAAATATAATAGATGAAGACAAATCAAATAAGGAGTGTTCAACAGAAAATAAAAAAAAGAAAAGACCTGGATTATCACAAACTTTAATACCAGGGAAAAAAATTCTTAAGATATTTAAAAAAACAGAAATGTCTAATGTGCATTCATAAAATATTAACTAACTACATATTTTTTACCGTTTATAAATCCTATTGTATATAGTATCATTGTATAAAAAGTATAATAAATATAATTAAATTTATTAAAGTTATGAGTCATCTAGTCATTGTTTTCATATTTTTTCACATTGCATAGGTACTTGAAATTTTCTTATTTCAAAATTGTATTGTTTTTAAATTCATGCAAAAGCCAATGGATGGCACAATTAAATGCATAAATTTGTTGGTTTTAGTTAACATTTGTTATTGTGAAAGCAAAATACATACATACAATATATCATCAGAMTATCTTAAAATTACTAATTTATATTTTCTCGAGAAGATTTGTTAAGAGGATGTTAGCGCACACTAATTRTTTACCCTTTTACTGGTCAACTGGTCCATGCTAAACATAGAAAATATGCAGAATCATTTTGTCCGTTTTTAGATAATCTTTGAGTAAAATTACCCATTACAAGAAAGATAGAGAATAATATTTTTGAGGGAATGACATTTATATAATATTTTATTGCTATCTGATTTTGTATTTGACTTTTAAAGTAAAAAAAAATTCAGACAAATCTATGTCATTCACTGAAAAATGTATTCTCTATTTTTTTTGGTAATGGGTGATTTTATTTGGATTAATTGGTTACAATGGTCTGGGTTGAGAGWTTCTGACATATGACAAGGATTAATTGTTTCTTTCCTTTCTTTGTATCTTATATTAATTATTATTGTTATACTAATAAGGATAAGTCTAGCAAAAACTAATTATTGTGTATATAATAAATAATAATATTGCTTTCTCAATATTAGAAAAGCTATTACAACGTAGCATTTCGTTTTGTCCCTTAAATTTTTTTTTCACTACAGAAATAATTAAAATCTCTAGCGTTGACCATTGAGTGATAAATATGTGGGATATGCAATCAAAACAATTAAATCAAATAATTCATTTTTGAAAATGTGCCTTAAATGAAATTTAATCTCAAATAAAAATTGTACCCTTTCATCAGTTCTAAAAAAATAATTTCTATTGCCTTAGATAGGAAGAAAATGTATCCTAAATTATTTAAAAATATTCATCTTTTATAGATGGTAACAAATTTAATTTTTAATATTTAAATAATTTATTTATTGGTATGGCTCATTTAAGATTTAGATGATAATACAAGGCTAAATTGAAGAATAATCTAATTATAGAAATGGAAAACTCAAATCTCAATTAAAAATATATAGCATCACTCATATTGTTGGTACATCTTTGAGAACCTATATTTTTAAACAAATGTCGAAATGTACTGTATAAATTGGTTATTTCTTATTTTCATTAATTGTATTAGTAATGGTTGCAGTCTACAACTTATAGAAGATCATGAAGTGAATTCTTAATATTTATTTACAGTAAATAATTGTTGAAGTATATTTATATCAACATTTTTCCATATGGTTGTAGCTATCTAAAAAAGTTCTAGTTACATTAAGCAAGGGATTAACAAATGTATTAAGTTAAGTGTGAAATAAAATAACCCAATAACAGTTATATACATAAGTAATTTGATTAATATATAACACATATTAATTATTTCAATTATAAAATAATTTTTAGTATTAACTATTAAATATGAAAAGAAACAAATTTAGTCCACTGAAAATTAAAAAAAAAATGAAATGGAATGTTTTAAATGTATTCATAAGAATTGTCTTTGTTTAATAACTAATTATAGGTCAATAAAAACCACAAGAATCGGTACTATATTTTTTATTCATACAAAGGGTATAGACCAAAACACAATTATTTTGCTTTATCTTAAAACCATCATAATTTAGGCTTTAAATAATATGTGCTAATCTCGAAGTTTTGTTAATATAGTTTTGAAACATAAATTTAGGTTTATATAAAATAAAATTATTAAGATCTCCTCATTGCTAACATTGTATTTATTTCCCATATAATTCTTCGAAGATGATCAATTATTTCTTTTAAATGTCTATTTTTATTACTTAATTGTTCAGCTACTTCTTTCATTTCATCGCTAGCAACACGATAAGTTTCACTAGTTTTTCTTTCTTCAGACTTCATGTCCCATTCTTCTTGGAGTGGAATCAGCCCTTCTATATGCATGTATTCCATACCTTGTAATTGACAGCTATCGTTGCATTTTTCATATATAATTCTTAGTCGTTTGAATAGTAATTTTATGTTCCTCAATTGATCTTGCATTTTAATACGCCTTTCATTACTCATGTTAGCACCAGATGTAGTACCATTTGGTGGCATTAGGACTTTAAGTGTTTGGAACACTTCATGTGTGCGAGACACTATCTCTTGTACGGTTTCTTGTCCAAAGCGACACAAAGAGGCAGTGTTAAACTGATGACCAGATGCTGATTGATTTTGGTTGGAAGGCGGTACTGGTGGCTGGGAAACGGAACCAACACCTACAGGATTCTGATTAAGAGGAACTTGAGGTACCAATACATTGTGTTGACCAGGAACTTGCGTTTGTATATTAGATTGTAAACCAGGCCCCACATTAAAGCTTGGTTGACCGACCATGCCAGTCTGAGAAGACTGCATGTTGATAAGTAGATGTTAAAAAACACTTAAATTTAAATAATTTTTAAGCWATTTTGTACACTAAAGCAAGGAGAAAAATACTTTAAAATCAGAATTTTATATAGATGGTATACTAACACAGGAATACAGAATACTAATAATTAATAACCTACTATTTTGACAATGAGCTATTAATTTGAGTTTTTGAGGTATTTGTAGACTCGATTAAAGAAACTATTAGAAATTAGATTATTACTTTATTAGAATAAAGAATAAACACTAAACAGATAGGTCCTATCAAATCTAACTCCAGAGGACTCGATGGATTGGAGTTGGAGACGCCGTGGAGATCTGATAACGTGAACGTCATGAAGATCGAAATGAGTCTTACGATTAAAAGGCCACAGGCTGCGCTGCAGTAGTTGCTACTTTAACCCGATTTGTATATTGTATAGCGTTTATTCACGTTTTTTGAAAATATATGCTGCAAACAGTGGTAGATTTTAGGCATAAGTTAGGTTTTATTATTTTTTATTATTAATTTTTACAATTTTATTTTTATGTTTTATATTGTTTCGCTCAAACCCATTATATTATTATTTAAGAAATATTATCAGTGTATATTTATATTATTATTATTATATAAGAAATTCTACCAAACATATTACTATTACTTTTATTATGCGGGTATAATGGCATTTCGCAAACCGCAGAAGGCTATTTTTCTGATTCGTGAGTAGTCGATTTTAACAGTCAATATGATATCGCATTTGCTATTGAAGAAAATGCGAATCTAAAAATTCGAAACGATCCAAATATGCTTTACAAATATTTAAAAGAAACGTGGTCACCTAAACAAAATTATATTTTCCCTGTAAGTATGAATAAAAAAGGTCATAWAAGAAGCTTTCAAATTGAATGGCTAAATAAGCACAACTGGTTAGCTTATAGTCGTAATAGAGAAGAAGCTTTTTTTTTGCTAGTTCAGTAAACCAAAGTTTGGTGGGATTGGAGGACAAAGGGGTCTTAAAAGAAATTCCTATGATAAAATACAAAGATGTTTTACACRATTATATAAGATACATATTGAAAGAAAATATCATGAAATAGCAATTGTGCGGTTTTTAGAATTTATAAAATGTTTTGAAGGCAAACAAAAGCAATAGAAAATCAACTTGAAGGCCAACTAAATGAAATTGTCAAACAAAATAAAAAGAAGTTAATTCCTGTAATTAAAACAATTATTTTCTGTTTGGATGTATCTGTTAATTAGCAATTAATACCTAATTACTGAAAAATTTAAGATTTGCGTTTTGGATTATGGCCCCCCCCAAAAAAAAAAAAATTTAATCCTGGATCCGCTGGAACACTGGCTGCAAACTATTATTATTATTTTGGACTAAATTAAAAATTAATCTTAATTCGTGTTTTTAACTATGTTCATTTTTAAACTGTATAGTGTATAGCTTGTATGTATACGATTATTATGACTATGTATTTATAAATATTGGGCATATAAAATCGTGGGCCGTGGCCCATGTGGACAATTCATATACATTTGTCTGATGAGAATTTATGCACACAGGTGTGATAAGCACTTGCATAAGATAAGTAGTCTATTACAGAATTGTTAAATACATGATAAATTAAATTATTTTGTCATGGTTAAATAAATAATAACTGTTATTACAGAATTTAGACACAAGTTGATCGAAGATGGTATTTAATTATAGTATTGTCATACTGAGCTGTTGAGGTAATGGAGATATTAAAATATAATTACATATAAGCATTTAAATTTTAAACTGTAGTGGCAGAAGGTCCTAAAATCTAATTTCCTAATACTCTTGTCCAGACTCTAATTTTTACCTTTATCCTTATTGTTGTATACATTTTTGGTACTTCAGTAAACAGTATAATTACTTATTTCCTGAATTGTACTTTATATAACCACAAGTGATATATAATATTATCTATTTATGTAACATAATTTAATATTGTAGCCTGTATGTAAACAGTCCTCTTTAACAAAATATATATAATTTCCTTCTACAAATATTATATTATATTCTGTTTAAATTTAAATATGCAAAATAAGATTATATTGTTTATATGTAGGAAGTTTAGAACACCTCACTTATGTGATTTGAATATTTGATTATCACAATTTTAAAAAATGTTTATAAACTACTTCACAATGATTTCATGATTATATATCTAAATTTATTTTCTAGACACCTAGATATATTTTAAATCATGACATTTATAAATTTGCTAGTTGCTCGGTATAATATACATACTTTTAAACTCAACAAATCAATTCCCTCTAATTACTAATACCACAGATTATATAAATTATATAATCTGTGCTAGTATTAAGAATAATACAGTAACAACTAAGATTCTTGTTAACATCAATTCGGTGTGTTATGCATGCGTTGTTATAATATTCTAAGTATACCCCTAATAAAAAAATTCGGTAAATAAAACCACGAAAAAAAATGTATTCAACTATTTTATACTTCATTATTGTCATATTATACTATATGTCTATTTTTCTTTATATTAAATTAATAAAATAATAATTGACCTAAATRTAGTAAATATGTAGTGTAATGAAATAGGCGCAATAATAGATAAGACTGTATAGTTCCAAATTTTTAACTTGATCGGTTCTTTATTTTAGATTCTGA